CAGGCAGCTTAGAAACGTCAGAGTGAAAAATTAAAAGCTTTTTACAGAAAAAAACAAACAAAAGAAATGCCACCAAAAAAAGCGTAGGAGTAAGATTTATCTGTATTTATTTCTTAATTTGTATGGAATTTTTTATCAGTCAATTTATCAAGTTATTTGTTTCTTTTTATGACAAAAGAATAATATATAACCAAAAGGTAAACAATAGCAGCACATACAGATAAAAAAGTGCTACAAATACATATGAAGGGCATAAAATAGGATCACGCTTTATTTTTCTCCATGGTTACAACAGTTCCTGTTTCCACCACAGAGAAGGATGTTTGTCCCAGAACTTGCTGCTGTATTTACACCCTACACATTGATGAAGGGAGCTTCATTCAGCTGTGAAGGTGACTACAGATGGAGTTACACTACGTGACAGAGTGGGAGTGGGTAGGGTCCGGTTTGGGATGGGCCCTGAGTCTCTGGTTTCAGGCTTTGAGAGGGAGTTATTAATGTTCACAAATACTGATTGAATTTTCCTGGGCCATGGAAATAACATATTGTAATCTGTTGTTTAGGTGGTGTTCAGCTTTAAACTGTCTGAAAAGTGGGAAATATCTCTGGTGGAACATAGACATCTGAAATGAGAATGAATCATAGGAATGAATGAATAATTTATTTTAGTGTTGGGATATTTTCATCCCTCATAGACACATTAATCAATAAGAAATCAAACATTCTGGCCTGTCAACCCACCATCATCCAACAACACAATACATAAATATCATCCAGGCATAAACACAAATTATCAGGCAAAAAGAGACAAAAAAGCTCCCACAAACAATGCATAGATATCCCACAACAAAACATAAATACAAAGCACAAACACAGCCCCCTGAGTACAAGATATAACACACAGAGGTGTAAATATAGACAGTACAGGCAAGGCGGTTGCACTGGGGCTCATGGGATGACGGAGCCTATAGAGAAAGCAGGCCTTCCAACAGTGTGTTTGCCAGAGAACAGGCTCTTGTAACCCACTCAGATTGCCACCTCAGAAATATATATGTATATATATACTAGTCCACTCCATACCCACTGAGTGCACAGTTGCCCACGTACAGTTCCACATGGTGTGTGTTTGGGATACAGGTCATAGGAAATTGCAGATTAAATAGTCAACTGAACCCATTAAGAAGAGCAATGCATTCAGACAGACTTTTTGTGAATGTGATAGTACGATTGCTTTATTGAAAGTACAGTAGTACCATTGCCAATAGTGGGATAGTTAGTGGGCATAGTAGTTGAGGTAGAACATTGAAAGGCAGATAGTTAAAGTGGTAGCACGTTGAAAGGCAGATAGTTAAAGTCATTGCCTTATAGAAGCTCAGTTTTAGTAAGTTTTCCCAACATTTGCCAAGAGGGAACTTTAGATATTGGTCCCTAGATTATGTTCACTGAGTTTCATGCAGATCGGTCAAACTTCCTAGGAAGAGATCGATATTAAGTGTTTTTCAAAAAATTCAAAATGGCGGATAATCTACATAACCAGAAGTAATGGGTTCTTGAGGCAGATTTGTTCCTCATGAGGAGAGGCATCTCTGTGCAAAGTTTCATGTCTCTACGACAGACGGGGCATGAGTTATGTCCATTCAAAGTTTGCAATTTAAATCGGTTGCTATAGTGCCCCCTTTGGCCAATTGGTGTAATATTGCTTCATTCACATCCTCCCATGACCCTCTACCACTGTGCCAAATTTCACATGGATTGACCAAGTCAGTCAGGAGAAAAATGTGGAACAGACACACCCACAGACAGATAGATTTTTCGTCATTATATAGTAAGATAAACAGTAAGTTCTCAGTTTTGGCTTTGGCCATATTTCTTCAGCCCATGATTGTGTGCATTTAACATGGACCTGGTGTTTGTCGAATAGAGCTACCTACTCAGACTGACCTACCAATGAAAGATCTATCAGACTGTAGTTAAAGTAGAGTAGCTCATTCTGTCAGGTAGGAAATATCTATCAAAATGTGCTACTACCTATGTGAATACAAGACAGGATGCTACCCAGGGTTCCTTGGAGTTCATAGATGCTGGGTGATTTTGCACCTCCACTTAATCTACAGAGCTTCATAGATTTGGCTCCATATCTTATCAAGTTGTTTTCCCTTGTTGCCGTCTTCCGACATTGTCCTTTCAATGCACAGATAATATTTCATCAAGGTAAAGAGGAAGTGAAGATTCCTCCTATTTTTTCCAGTTTTGCAATATGAGATTCTTATAAACTAAAGACAAGAAAAGAATTTGCCATCCTGTTGAGTATCTGAGTAATTATTTTAATTGATTTTATTGTGTACTGTGCACTTTTATCCATTGTAAGGTGTCCTTGAGTGACAGAAAGGCGCCTAAGAAATAAAATGTATTATTATTATTATCTTATTTTCCCAACATTCTGAAAGAGGCAAACACAATTGCAGGTTCTTGAAATCCATCTTTCAATATTCCTTCAAGTCTGTCTAATTTTATCACAGTACCAAAAGACATGTATGAGGGAGTCACACTGAGTACCACATTTTAAACATTTATCTGAGGCGCACGTGTCGAAAATATGAATTTAATCTCTACTGTAATATATTCTTTTCATTAACTTATGCTGAATTAAATGTAAATTGTCATTAGTGGTAACTGTAAGAATTTCATTTTTCTTTTGCATGTACTCTACCAAGATCTGCAGTCCATTTATTGAATATGTTTTGTAGCAGTTCTTCATTGCTCTCAGCTTTGTTAAGAATATTATGTATATTAAACATCTTTTTTTATTCCACCCTTTCTTTAGGATTTCTCCTGTCTCAGTTGAGGATCTACTCCCAAGATAAAAGTTTTCTGTTATCCAGGTTTTCAATTTCAGATACTTGAAACATTCTAGATCGGGGTGTCAAACATATGGCCTGGGGGCCTGAACCGGCCCGCCAATGGGTCCAATCCAGCCCACTGGATGACTTTGCACACCTAATATGAGCCCCTTTTACACTGCCAGATTTTCCGCGAATGTTGGGCTGTTTTGCCGGCAAGCTGAGAGTGTTTAGACACACAGAGCCGGATTGGCGAGTTGGGTAGTCATATTGGTGGAACCCTTTTAGTTTAAACAGACCGAGGCGGCCTTCCACAACAGGAGGGGCTGTTGAAGACTTGTGGGAGGAGCTGTTGATGACGCTGCACGTGCAAGCCACTGGCGGTGGATAAACAGGAAACAGCTGATAGCAGGAATTAGCGAGCAGCTAGTAGCAAGAGGGAAACACAAACCTGACAGACACTGTAAAGATGAGCGACTGGGGAGACAAGAAATTGCACGCCCTCCTTGCCCTCGCAAATGAAGACACCATTAACCGTCAGATGACAGGGACGGTAAGGAGTGGGCCAACTTACGAGAGAATCGCCGAAGGACTGACTAGCCACTGCTTCTCTCCCACGTCACTGTTTACGTCACACGCTGAGCTACACGTTTTGTTACTTGCTCACGCCCCCCATTGCCCTGAAAAAGGCACATTCTGTATAAACAAAAGTAGACAGGCGGCATTTTGCCACACTCCCCGATTTTGTTTTTAGCTGCCAATGCTGAAAAAAAGACTGATTTGGCTTTCCTGCAAATTTGCACAATTCCTGTCTAAAAAGGGCTATTGATGCACCTGTGAAGGCAAAGGGGGTGTTAGGTTTCAGAAGCAAGTTAAACAGTGAGTAGATACTTCATGTATAATGCTGCCTCAGAGTTCTCCACCCTGACCAGAATACAGTTCTCTGAAATAACAATGAATACTTACTGTGGTCATATTAAAAGATATTGAACATTGTGCAACATATTATCAACCACAATATGGGTGGAACCCTTTTGCTAAAGCTCTGACAAAACTTAAGCTTGTAAATGGTTTGTAAGGCAGTGAATGACTTAACCTGCTTCTTGAATAGCTTCCACTTTAGTGGTAGCGGAAAGTTATGAAATAATAAGGTCTGCAGGGGAAAAGAGGGTCCCCTGGGAGAAGGGCATGACAGCAGCCCATGAAAGGAAGCACCTCAAGTACTCCGAGCTAGCAGCGGAGTGCCAAGAGACTGGCTGGAAAGCCAGGGTTTATCCCTCGGAGGTCGGATGCAGAGGCTTTGTTGGCAAAACAGTAGTCCAACCACTCCACGGTGCTTGAATGGCAGGGTCAAATCTGCGGAAGGCCGTGAAGGAGCTAGGAGAGGAGGCCGAGAAAGAGAAAGACAATGGTTGGGGGACAACACCCCAATAAAGGCAGTTGCAGGGGGTGGCAGGGAGACATCCCTTATTTGCCGAAACATCAGTGAACGGCGGCCTCCAATTGATGACCCTGCAGCTAACCTTATGGCACCGGTGGAGGTGCGACAGGGCAAATGCCGAAGCAGGAAACAACACCTCACCTGTACAAAGAACTGCACATATTTGTTTTTAAGATATTGCGGGCTGTTCATCATTTGTTTTGTAAATGGATGAATGTTTTCAGAATGTACTCCTTCGTTTTACTGGTGCGGCCCAACTGAGATCAAACTGGGCTGCACGTGGCCCATGAACCAAAATAAGTTTGACACCCCTGTTCTAGATCTTTTAGCTTATATTTATCTTTTAATTCCTGAAATGAAAAAAAAAAAATTATGATCGATAATGTCAGCTTATCCATGCCTCCCAGTTTAGCTGGGTGTTTCCAATAGTTACTGATGGGTTGTTGCTTGGGAATTTCTATTTCTTTACCTAGTATTTTTTGCTTTCTGAAAATATAAATTAACAAATATCAAGAAAATATAAATAAAGGGATGTAAAAAGTACAAAATTTCCCTCTGAAATGTTATGAAGTGGAAGTTTAACGTTAAAAAACACAGCGAGGTAGGATAGTGCTGAAGAGAGACACAAGCTGAGCAGGAAGTGGCGGCCATTTTGAATGCGCCCACAGAGAGGCGCTGTGGCTCCACACAAAACCTCCCCTCCATGTTACCGGGACGTCGTCGACAAACCCGGCCTACCTGAGCGTCTACCTGCTCACCACAGCTCAGCTCACTCCCCCTTCAGCTCAGCTCAGCTCAGGTAGGCATCAGTATTCAGCATATAACCCGTTTCCATCACTGTGTTCAAATGGTGAATGCACCGATTAGAGAGAATGTCAATTAATGCTAAATCAGTTTGAAGACATGGCTGCTGGCTCCGGCTCCTCTCTCTGCTTCTCCTCCAGCTCAGCTAAAAGTCTGCTAATGCCAGTCACTGGCCATCTCTCTCCCCTCGTCTGCACTTTCTTTTTTTCCACAGAGAGTGGGCACACAATTCTCCTCTTAAGTGTTTTATTTGTTTATATGCTAATGTGGAGATGAAAGTTAGCTAACAGAGATGGAAGGCTAGGAGTGTAAACAGCGCTGTGTGTGGGCGCGTGAGCTCAACCCCGTGCTTTTTACACTGGTGGAGTTTGCTCAGCGGGTTCATTCACAAGTGCGACTAAAAAAGGCCAAAGCGAGGCACGTCTTAGATGCAAATTTAAATGGAAACTGTTGAAATATGCATTTCACTTAAGCCAATCCATCTTTTGTTATTTCAAGCCACTGACATTCAGAGAGGTAAAGTAGCTGTTATGGGGATTAAATGAGCTGGTAATGGCCCCTGTGATATAGAAAGCCACCTTCAAGCCATGCTGAAAGACATCTCCCATCTTTATAAACAATTGGAGCTAATGTAGTCGCACACACACACAGCAGACTCCATCCCTCTCTCCTCTCATTGTCTGTCTGTCTTCAACAGATACTAATTGTGTGGGGAGGTAAACATGGCAGTCAAGTGGAGAGGACGGCAAGTCAAGCGTGAATATCAATCTCCCCACATCAGTGTCATCAGATGACTTTGACTGAGTTGAGGCGGGCTCATTAGAGCGATGGAGCCACAATAACATCCAGGTGTGGGGCCCTGAAGTTACGGAAGCCTGCAGAGCTCACTGGTTAACAGGTGAGTGTGTGACAGGGCCGTGGGTGTTCATACTGTGTGTGCCGGTCCTTAAAAAGTCTCTAAGGCTAACATCACCTAAATTAAGAATTTCAATATGACACTTCGATGGTCTAGGAAAGTTCAACCAGTAATTGTGAGCACAAGCTTCCCTCTCTTAAAACCAGACACCAAAGAAATAAGTATCAAACTTGTGATGAAGCTGCTCCATAAACAGTGAATACCCATTCATTCATTTGCGTGACTGTTAATCCTGTTAGGGATCGCAAGGAGGCTGGAGCCTATCCCAGCTGACATTGGGTGAGAGGCGGGGTACAGGTCGCCCGACTCTCTCAAAACTGACACACGCAGACAACCATTCACACTCACATTCACACCTACGGACAATTTAGAGTCACCAGTTAACCTGCATGTCTTTGGACTGTGGGAGGAAGCTGGAGTACCCCAAGAAAACCCACGGTGACATGGGGAGAAAATGCAAACTCCTCACCCAAAAGAGCTTAATTCTGTAGCTTCTTTGTAGGTGATGTCATACATCTGTGCAATGTCAAGATGGAGGGCAGGCAAGTGGAGGCAAAGACTACCAACACTGGACAGACGTCTGTGATTTGTGTTGTTTGTGGCTGCTCCAATCGATCAAATTGTGAAAAAACAAAGCCCACTTCAAGTCTAGGAAAAAGTGGGACATAAAGGGGAGTAGGTGGGAAAAAAAGTCACTGAGAAACAGCGACATGTGGATCAAAAACCTTCATCTTACCCTGCTGCCTGCAGGTTCATCTAACCCTTTTTATGTATATAGATTTATCACTTTCTGCTCTCCATCTGAATTTTGCACATCATAATCAGGGGTGTTGTAGTGTGGGGGACAGTGGGACTGAATACCCAGGGTCCCAACTGGAGGGGGGTGTCCCGAAAGCCTGGAATGAAAAGTTTGGTTTTGTGTGCAGCTTCTTATTTCGAAGTAATTTGTGCTATACATTAATTAAAATTAGCTGAATGAGTCGGCTGAAAGACTGAACTTATGAGAAGAAACAGTGGAAGCTTTCTGAGGCCCCCCTCACAAAATGGTTTAGTCTGCCTAGGACTTGTCATTAAAAGCAATGAGAACCGAGTGAGTGACTGCTTGTGCTGCTAAAGCATCAATGTACACTGTCATGTCTTTTCCCAAGAATGGGAAACTGTGGTTCCAAAAAGGAAAAGATAGAACCATAGGAAAGGGAAAGAAAGCAAACTGATGTAAAAAAAAATTTAGAAGGTGTGTGAGAGACATGGCTCAAGAGAGGAAGAGCAGGGGGCCCACACAGACTGCTAATGCATAAAGCCCAGAATTCTGTGCTGCACTCCTGGTCTTAATAGTCACATGAATACAAACAAGCTATTATAATCTACCCATATACTCAGAACTTTCCTCTGGTGCTCTCAGTGTCATCTATAACATTTTCCCCAATTTACTGTCTATGGAGCAGCTCCAGACTTTATCCCCATATGACATCACAAATGAACAAATGACATCACAAAAATGAATTTTAGCACAGTAGTTTTTGGATTTGGGAGAGAGTTGTTTATTTTTACCAATATTGGACCATAGAAATAACGTGTATGAAATTTTTAATAATTAAAGTTCCCCTTTAAATTGTCTTTCAATTCAATTTAATACATATTAGACCTTAAAAGTCATTAATTAGTCTTAAATTTGAATTTGAGATCTTAATTGCTACAAACGTCCGTTCTAATTTAATTTATCCATTTTTGTATATTCTTTTTGTCAAATAAATCAAGCTCTTCTGCATAAAAATCCAAACTTCTGATGTGAAAAAGCTTTCAAACCTACCGCAGAACATAATACTGTTATTTTTTACTAAGGCTGACCTGAATGCCTTGAAGCTTTAAAGCTACAATCGTTGGCATGGTAATCAACATCCGATCAGTATTTCAGTGCTTCATTTCTTCTTTTGTTTTTTTTACACTAGGAACGTGGTGGAGGAAACTGAAAAGAGGTGGCAAGTGTCAGAAGCAGATGAGGTCAGCATTCTCAGCGCAGTCATTGACCCTTCGCTTCAAGCAGTTAAGCTGTCTGTCTGACAAGTAAAAGGAACAGGTGAGAACAATTGTGGATGGTTATCCTCAGCTGGCAGCTACGGTGAAGCACTTGCTTTGCATCTAGTGATGTACAGAAACATTATGTGCAGTGGTCTACCTATTTCTTTTGTCTCACACTCGCCATGCAGCTGTGCTAAGTCCTACCAAAGTCGGGTTGGGTTTGGGTGGCTGACTGGCATTTATGAATAGACTTACACAGCTTTGTCAAAAACTTGGTGCTGATTGGTCAGTTATGGCATTCAATGGTCTGTTATTTCTGAGGAGCAAACCTTTACTATGAATAGCAGACTGTTGCTATGGATGCAGTTCTCATTACAGAGCCTTAGCGGAAGCAATACATTCATTTTTAAATCAATATTTTGTATCATATCAAGGTTGGAAATCAACTTGTTTTCTCCACCTGTCACTGTGGCTTGAGGCAGCCACTCAGTAGATTACTTTGTATTTTTTGGCTGGTAAGTGAAGCAAATCTGAAAAAAGATGTCAGGCGCACACTCTAAGACTCGATGCAAAAATATTTTCTTGAATAAAAGAAAATATTTTTGCATCGAGTCTTAGAGTGTGCGCCTGACATCTTTTTTCAAATTTGTATTTTTTCATCAATGGTCAGCACCTCTCCAACCCTGGTGTGCACTCCTCCTCTCTCTTCAAGTGAAGCAAATCTAACAGCCACTTGCATATTTTACGAGCATTTGGCTGGTTTGTGGTGCTAAATTCCAACCCTGGTCATATTATTAATTTCTTTAATAAGTAGCCGTGCAATAGTTGGGATAATGTGCTGTAAGTGGGTCAAAAAAAGATTTGTCCGTTGTCTTAAATTCAGTTAAAAAACATCTTAGAAAAGGTTTTAAAAAGCATTAAATTAAAGTGTCAGATACCCGTGGACACCCTGCCTGAGTATATTCCAACCTGCCCCTGCACTGAGGTGTCACCAGGGTTCAGGGAGGAAATGTCACACACACCTCTGCATGTATTCACTCAGACACGTTGAGCCGCACGAGCTCATGGCTGTAAATGTGCGTGCATGTTCCATATTCATACATTGGGTTATTATGAACTTGCGCCACCAGCAGTTCTTTGGCTCCCCATGTCAGGGAGTGACAACAAGAATTGCCTGGTTAGCACACTGGTGTCAGACCTGGCAACTAATTCCGGATAACTTTTCTTCCACCTCCAAGATTTTGGTGATAAGGAGAAAAATGTCCCTTTCTCAGATTTTCTTGGCACTTTTTGACTTTTTAAGATTAATTCACGGCGGAAGGGAAATCATGAGGCTGCTTTTATTTTGCACCTGAGCCACTGTTGGTTTTCTGACAGCAAACCTAAAGAATAGTACCTAATACCTGAAGAATAGTTTAAAGCAGTGGTTCTCAACCAGGGGTCTGGGGACCCTCTGGGGTCCTTGATGGAGTTCTTAGTGTTAGTGAATCAGAATCATTCTAAATTGTGAGGTGTGTGCCTGCTATCTGCAATCAGCAGACTGCTACGCCCCCATTTCTCTATATAAGGAAATACATTTGCCCAGAGGTGTATCATGGAGAAAGCAGTGAAGTTGCTTCTGCCTACATACTAAGGTCCTGACACACCAGTGCCAGGGCGTCAGTGAGTATCTGTGCAGTCGGGAACAGCTGATAAGCCGGTCATCACTCTCTGCAAACATGTTTAAACATGTTGCTCTCCGAGGCGCTCTCGCCTCAAGACACGGACTGCAGTATCATCTAGCAAGGTTAGATATGCCATCTTAACAGCTTGGATGTAGATCAGAATCTTTCATATACCCTGATAATAAGAATAAAAATAATAGTAACAACAATGATAATGATTTCATGGCACTAAAAACAATAAAAACCAAAACTGTATATTTCAATATAGACATTCTCACGTAAACCAGGACTGGGACAATATTTTAATTATGACAGTAATCAACGAGGGTCAAAGGCCGAGGATGAAAGAAGTGCATGCATTAGTAAATTAATGGTTTTAAATATTGTTGTGTATTAAGGCCTTTTTTAATGAATGTAGTTTTAATATGCTTTTAGTTAAAAGGTTTGTGTCTTCATTTTCTAAGACAGCCTGACCTTGTGCATACGAATGGCCAGAGGCAGGTCTAAGTTGTTTATTGAGTATGAAAACATTTCAGGAGGAAGATGTTGATGAATCACAGATTTGTTCATAAAACGTTCGTACACATGGCTTAAGCATAGATTTGTACATATGCACTGTTTGTGAATGAGGTCAATTTTTTCTTGCTGGCCCGCTGTCCACTTCTGCCCTGTTCCCCTTTCTTGTTGAATTTTACAATGGACATAAGTTTCAATGTTGGTGTGTAAACGTGATTGACACATTGTAGGGTAATACTTATTTTTAAACATGCGACGATCTCAGACGAAAATAAAGACATACAAAGGTCTTAAGAGTCATAAGAGTGACTATTGTGGTCAAAGGTTTCACTTCCTCCACTGTTATCTCCTTAACTGTAGTTGACAATAGGGGTGTAACGATCCATAGATCTGGATCGATATATTGATTCAATGATCAACGATCCAGTGTCATCGATGCAAAGTGAAAACATCAATCCATATCATCATCTTTAGGAAGCACTTCTTTTTTTGAACAGCAACGGGCAGACAGTAAGCAGCTGAGAGAAAGACGATGACGATAACATTATTTACTCAGGAATAAATCAGCAGGTTGAAAATATTTTGGATTTTGGAGAATATGCGGGTCAACAGACAGCACATGCCATATGTAAACAATGCCGTTACGAGATAAAACACAATGTAACTTTACCAATGCTAACTTCTCACTACAGCAACATTAGCTGCTCTGTTTCAACAATTTTCGGCTGAATAAATGTGCATGCAGGTTGAAGTTCAATTGAGCTGTTCTGTCTGTAGATGCAGTGACAACTAAAACGTTATGTAATTTGTTAAGCTATGAGTAGAAGAAAAAAGTCCACTAGCTGGTAGTCAAATTTATGCAGTGTAAACATGCTTAACCCATGTGCTGTTTTATGTGTGTTAATTGAGTAAAGTAAACTGTACTGCACTTAATCGATTACAATTACTTTACATTATTTATGTGTTATCTTTTATGGCCAAAAGCAGAAAAAAGGGTTGGCAGCTTCCTCCTTAACCGATTGTTGTATGAGCATATAATATCGTCTCATATCAATCATATGCCCCTAAATCGTTTTGAATTGAAATCATATTGTGGCAGACTTTGTAACATCGACAAATATCCCTTTATTGTCTAAAGAATTGATATCATATCATGATGAAACTGGTGATTTACACTCCTAAATGTCAACTATAGAATTCTGGTCTTACTGCTTTGCTGCTTATATTTGTTATATATCATTAATAAACTGAAACTGTTGGGTTTTGGTCAGCCAAAATGAGAGGTTTTAACATGTCACCTTGGAGTTTGGGAAGCTGCAGTGGGCATATTTTCATTTTGGTGACTGATTAACAGAAAGATTGATCAATAATAAAAATAGTGGTTAGTTGCATCGTTGAAAGTTAAAACCCAGTTTTCTCCTGAACTAGTTTAAAACTTGGGAAAATCATTTTATTCTGTCTGTCTGATGTTTATATTGAATATCAGCTTGTTTCGGGTCTTTATTGAATCTATTTATGACTGAAATCTGGCTGGTAATATTCTACCTGTCCTGTGCATAATTTTCTACACGTTGCCTCCAAATTCAGCCTGACAGATTTTGTATCTTTGGAGATCTCCACTGGAGTTTAAAATAAAGTTCAGTGGGCTTACGCAAATATTGAGTTTGTATTGATGAAGTACAAGATGTTTTCATCTTGAATTTAAGACAAAATATAGTTCCCTACATGCACAGAAACTCTTAAAAAATGCAGCCGAGACTTATTTGCCACTGAAAGTTGGGAGGTGTGTGAGGTGACTCGTAAAGGAAACACACTCTGAACCCTGCCCCGATCCTCCTGCATTAAACATCGTGCAAACCATTTCGTTTTGGAACGCGCACAAAAATATTATCCTCCTCCGCTGCCTTCCACCTCCCTCCTCCTTTTCTCCTTCTCTCCTTACCCCGTATCTCTCCCTCTCTTTCTCTCTCGGCGGGTCCCTGATAGGCCCAATCTCCAGTGGCTATGTTCAAAACACTGGGCCAGAATAGCATGGGCCCTAGGTAGATAAATATTTATGGGGTGCGTTTACTTCTTACCACAGAGGAGATGTAGAAATAGTGTGTTTCCAAGGTGAGCAAAACAAACAACTTCAAAGGAATTTAAATGCAGTTCATGTAAATTTTCTCCTACAGTCACATGTTTCTGCGGAGATTATCGTTAGATTGTTAATGAAGGATTCACGCCTGATGCCAGATGACCTGATTATTGTGTGTCTGCAGAAACAGGAGCCCACAGGCATCGCTGAATGAAGTAGATGCAGTGAATTAAAGCATATGCAAACAAATACAGTATGTGCTGTACAGTCACAGTCATGAGATCCTGCCATGAAGCCATGGCTTTTGGGCAGCAGTCAAACCAGCAGCTCCATCACCCATTGATCAGAGTAGGCTGTGATCAGAGAGAACGCCGCTAATGGACGAGATGAAAGAGCTGCTCAGCACGGATAAAGCAAAAAAAAAAAAAAATCATCAACGGCCCCTTGGGGTGTCATTTATTTACTGCTAATCCGTAACAAACTATATAGGCTTTCACTCAGTCTGCAGCTTTACACCTGCCATCACATAGCCACTGTTAAATCTGCATATAATACTGTATCTCTACGGATTCTCATTCAGTTACTCCGCTCATAGATGGCTGCTCGTCACATGTGCCCCCATCAAACGCAGCCAGGCGACCGTCTAATTATCTGCTAATGTCATGATTCAGCTGGCTCCGGAAATGTGGTGATGACGGTGTGTGTGTGTGTCTGTGTGTGTGTGTGTCTGTGTGTGTGTGTGTGTGTGTGTTGGGGAGTGGTTGGTTGGTTGGTTGGGGGGGGACCGGCAGGGTTCAGAGC